AGACATTCAACTCTAAACTTCCTAATAGCCAGCTTATATTCATTTGTTCTTGTGTCCACACTGGTATTGAGCTTAAATAATTTCTCTCCCTCCTTGGTATTTGTCCCTCTAATATATTAAAAGAGAGCAATCATGTCCCCCCTCAGCCTTCTTTTGGTTAAGGTAAACAAGCTAAGCTCCTTGAGTCTCATTTCACAAGACAGGTTTTCCATTCCTCGGATCATCCTAGTGGCCCTTCTTTGTACCTGTTCCAGTTTGAATTCATCCTTCTTAAACACGGGAGACCAGAACTGCACACAGTATTCCAAATGAGGTCTCATCAATGCCTTGTATAATGGCACTAACCTCCTTATCCCTCCTGAAATACGTCCCCTATTGCATCTCAAGACCGTATTAGCCAGTTCTCTGAGGGAGTCAAAGTCTGCTTTTCTGAAGTCCAGAGTGTGTATTTTGCTATTCTCCTTTCTTCCTTTGGTCAGGATCCTGAAATCTACCATCTCATGATCACTGCTTCCCAGGTTGTCACCCACCTCTACTTCCCCTACTAGTTCCTCCCTGTTTGTGAGCAGCAGGTCAAGCTGCACATGGCCCCTGAGCGGTTCCTTCAGCACTTGTACCAAGAAGTTATCCCTAACATTCTCCAAAAACTTCCTGGATTGTCAGTGTATTGCTGTATTGATCTTCCAACAGATGTCAAGGTGATTAAAGTCTCTCGTGAGAACCATGGCCTGTGATCTGGAGGCTTCTCTTAGTTGTCTGAAGAAAGCCTCGTCTACCTCATCCACCGGAATTTTCTACCTCTAAGTACTGGAGCTCTGATCAATCATACTGCTCTGTCACATACAATGCAACCCCTCCTCCTTTTCTCCCCCGCCTGTTCTTTCTGAACAGTTTATACCTTCCATGACAGTGCTCCAGTCATTTGAGTCATCCCACCAAGTCTGCGTTATTCCAATGAAATCATAGTTCTTTGACTGGGCCAGGGCTTCTAATTCTTCCTGTTTGTTTCCCAGGCTTCTTGCATTTGTGTACAAACATCTTAGATAGCCAGCTGATTGCCGTACCTTCTCCATTCAAGTCAGGGGTCCTCCTTTGTTGCTCGTGCCTCCTTGTGTTTCTTCCCCATATCCGACTTCCTCACTTATCTCAGGGCTTTGGACACCATCCCCCAATGAACCTAGTTTAAAGCCCTCCTCACTAGGTTTGCAAGCCCACCCGTGAAGATGCTCTCTCCTCTCTCGGTTAGGTGGATCCCATCTCTTCCTAACAATCCTTGTGCCTGGAACAGAGTCCCATGATCGAAGAAACCAAAGCCCTCTCTCCGACACCACCTGCGCAACCATGCATTTACTTCCTCAATTTGACGATCTTTACCTGGACCTTTTCCTTCAACCAGAAGGATGGAAGAGAACACCACTTGTGCTTCAAATTCCTTGATCCTTCTTCCCAGTGCTACATAATCTGCTGTGACCCGCTTAAGGTCATTCTTGGCCGTATTATTAGTTCTACATGGAGAAGCAGGAAGCGGTAGTGATCCAAAGGTTTAATCACTTTTGGAAGACTCTCGGTCACATCCTGAATGCGAACTCCCGGTAAGCAATACACTTCTCGAGATTGCAGGTCTGGATGGCAGATGGATGACTCAGTCCCTCTTAGGAGGGATTCCCCTACCACCACCTTCTTTTGGGTGTGGTGGTCTTCTTTTGGGGGTGGTGTAATGAAACCCCCATCTCTAGGCCTACATATCCCATGCCTTCTGGTTGATGGTGTTCTCTTCTGATTTCTTTCCTGAGAAATACCTGCCACAGCATTCTCCACCGCAATGCCTGTGGAGAGAGCCTGAAAGCAGTTATTTACCTCTACATGAATGGGGGAGACCTGAATTGGCCTTCTTCTTCTAAACATTACATGCTGCCAGTTTTCTTCCTTGTCCTGTACTGCCCTGACTGGGTCTTCAGCCTGCTGTGTCTGCGGGATTAAATGCGGCCTTCTATCGAGGTTGTCTTCATCCTCTCTGATGGAATGTAGGGTCGATAGTTGGGCCTCAAGTCCCCTAATTTTTTCTTCCAAAATGGCAACCAGCTTGCACTTAGTGCAAATGAAATCCCTTCTTTCTTCTGGGACGAAGACAAACATGGCACATGCTGTGTGGATAAAAACAGCAGACCTATCACTGTCGAGACCTGCCTTCCTTCTGAGAGATTCCTCAGATGTTATTCATGCCTCCTTGAAGGGCAGGTGTGTAGCGAAAGGATTTTAAAGAATCTTGCCCTCTCCAAACTCCCTGTTAGCAGTCCCTGGTTGCAAGCTCCATGGTCGCTGACTCACTCCTTTATAAAGCCCTGGACTGCCTGATAGCCCCTTCCCCTGATTAAAGCTCAACCAATGAGCAGAAGATTCTAGATTTCAAACCCTAATTAGATGCTCACTGCTTCCACCTGCCAGCCACAGCACACACTCCATTGGCGGGGGAGGGGGAGAATGGAGAAGGGGAAAAAAACCCAAACAGCCAAACACAAGCTCAGCAAACAGCAAGAAACCCAAACACACTCTACAGACAGCCACTTCCCTCAAGGGTCCAGTATTAGCTTCCTCCATCACCAGGAGAACTCCCTCTCCAAATTCCCTGTTAGCAGTTCCTGTTAGCAAGTTAACAGTGGTGCAGAATTCAGCAGCTCTTGTTCCTGAATTGACTGCCACTGTGCCACAGAATAAAATACAGTTTTTGGAACTGAAAGGTAACAAATATAAAACTGATAGAAGGAAATACTCTTACACAATGCATAATTAGCTCACTAACAAAAGATAATTGTGAAGGCCAAAGGCTTAGTGGGATTCAAATAAGGACTCGACAGTTATGTAGGTATATGCTTAAATTAGATTCTGTAAAAAAAAAAAAAAAAAAAAAAGAATCAGATCAGTGATTTATAACCTATCATGCATCAATGCAGAGGTCAAGCACTGACTGATAGATTTAAGAAGAAATTTCATATTGACACAGAATAATTGTCCATTATGGGTTCTCTTGTACTGTCCTTTGACGAATTTGGTAGTAGTCATTGTCAGAGACCAGATAATAGATTAGCCTGACTAATGGTCTATTTCAGTATGGCAATTCCTATAAAAATAATTTTTAAGGAAATAAAATAAGGTAAATAAATTCCACTTCTTTAATAGTAGAATTAAGTTCAGGAAGCAAGTTGAGTAAGTTACAAATATGTTTGACATGTGACACTTTCAGGTCAGTGATCCATTAATTACTTTTATTCAAGTGCGAGGATAGTTTTCCAAGTTCTGAAAAACAAATTTCATGCTTAAATTTCTGAAATCCACCACAATCCAATATGAGCTCTCTCTTGTCACCAGCTGATTAATGGAGATTTGGAACTCTGTCATACAGCAAAAGAATTCTGCTCTGAGTTGTCAGTATTTGAAGGTCTTATTCTATTCTCTGTTAATCAATGTAGGGAAGAATTGTAACTGATAAAATAGTAAACAGTAAAAAAAATCATGCATTTCAACTTTGGATGCAGTTTAATTCCCCCCCTCCCCCTCCCAGTTGTCTAAGATAAATAATCCCTTTCCTGAGTTGTCTTCATTTAGGATATTTGCAAATAGACTTCTGAAACAAGAAACATATACTTAAAACTAGTTCATCTCTCATTAAGAACCTCAAATTACTATTCATCTCCATCATTCACACCATTAACACTTTCTCTGAAATACATCACCAGGATTAAATATCTATTATATAACATATATGTTTTAGAAAATGGCATATACAATGGAACTGAAAGATAGCAGAGGTGATATCTACCCAACTATCAAACAAAATTATACTGAAAAAAAGAGAAGAGGCAGTAGCGCAAGATACCAGACAGGAACCAATCCACAAGGGGAACCAGTGGATACAGAGGCAGCAGTGCAGGGTGGCAGAGGGCTCCCGGGAAGTCAGGCTAGAGCGCATTGGCTTCCAGCTTCACCCCTGGGCACTACAGAATAGTTGAGTAACTGCAAAGATTTAATGCGGTTACTCGACTATTCAACTGACCGATAACTAAGACGGAGGCAGCAGCGTGGGGTGGAATCAGCTCCTGACTGCAGGGTATCCCAGCTCCTGCAGACATAGGCTGCTTCAGCCTGGGCGTGGGCTCATCGCAGGCAGAGACTGCTTCTTAGCAGCCTCCCCTGAACCCCCTCTTCCTCCTGTGCTGCTGCCTCTGATAGAGCCTAGGCTTATCAGTTAATCGTATACTCAACTACTTGCTTACATCCCTATTATATCACCGGCCACTAAATTTCACCCAATTATACCTGTATTAAGGACAATAACTTCCATTTGGCTGAAGACTATTATTCAGAAAGATATCCATTACTGAAGGCTTCAAGAGATGGAAAATCTTCCACTTTGGGGGGTGGCTTTTTTCAATGGTTTATCACTCATATAGTTATAAATATGTGTCTTTCTGCCCAATTTAAAATTTATCTGGCTTCATCATAGTTTGGTGTTAGGCCTTCCTCCACTAAATAAATAGCCCTTTAGTATCTGTTTTTTCTCTCTATGAAGGTGCTTGTATGCTGTAAACAAATTAACTCTTGATTTTCATTTTGATAAGGTAAAAAGGTTGAAAGGTATTTTCTCCACTCCTCAAATATTTTTGTGTCTCTTTTCTATATACTTTCCATTTTTTCAATATCCTTTTGAAAATGTAAACATCAGAACTGCATGAAATATTCCAGTGTCGATTTCAGCAATGCCACATCCAGAGATAAAATCATCTCCATACTCCCTTGTTTTCTCACGACTCCCTTGATTATACACACAAAGATCACATTAGCTCTTTTTGCCACAGCATCACATGTGAAAAATCATGTTGAGTTGCTTGCCCATTGATGCCTAAATCTTTTTCAGAATCATTGCTTTCTGGGACTGCTTCACTGTGTAAGCATGACCTAAATTCCTATGATAGTAATCGAAATTTTTGAAAACTTTCACTAACCTGATCAAACACATTTGTACAATATTGGCGGTGCACCTGGAGAGGGTTGAAAATAGGCTGCTCTTCTTCGCTCCTCAATGTCAAATTTGAATGTTTAATAGGTATTACATCCTCTTCAGAATTCTCACAAGACAACAGCTCTTTCAAAATCCCCTTTTAAGAAGAAATACAAGTCAATGAGTACCACCACTCCTTGACTGCAATATTCTGGTCAAATTCCACATATATATTTACATAGACTCTTTGCTCAGGAAAATCATTATCAGATCTCTCCCTCTTCCCAGCATTTTCTTTTCCCTGCCCCACTGGTTCCCAATCTCAGTCTCCTAGTCTTGCTAGTCCCACTATGCCCCATAAATCTTCATCCTACCTCATTTCCCCCCCCCCCCCCCCCCCCCACACTGTCTTGGGTTTCTTTTCCAGTGACCCGACTCAATGTCCTGGCACAGCAAAGTTCTGCTGCCTGCCAGCACCCTTCCCCAGTCGTCTCCCCAAGCTTCCCACACACATATAACTCTTGTCCCCTTTTCAGCTTCCTCCTGCACACTGCCAGGTTGCCAGTTGAGATAGGTTTAGTCACTGAAAGCACTGAAGACACAGACTTGCTGGCTCTCCATTTTAATTCCTGACTCTAATCAAACCCAGAGCAACTGACAACAGCATTTGCATGTAAATGAAAATTTAGTACAGGAAAAAGTAACTCCATTCCCTCCCTCTCTTCCCCCTCCCGGGGGGGGGGGGGGGGGGGCAAAAAAGTAGTAATATTGATGGGAGGAATAGTCAGGCAGATGACACAAACAGTGAAAAGACTATAGCTAATCTGTTTAGTAAATACTACTTTTTTGTTTGTGGTCCATACTCCTATACTGCGAGGAGTTCTGAGGTTGACAGGGGATGCTCTCAGCATTTGATTTAGTGGGTCCTTACCAGACCTTCCAAATCAAATGGTGGAAGATCAACCTCTGAAGCGCTGATATTCACAGAAGTGAAGACAAGCCCTACAACTAAATTGCAATACACAGGATCTTCCAAATTGGAATACTCCCAATACAAGTCAGAGGCTCCCATAGTAAATGAGGCTACAATTACTTATCCAAACCAGATCTAAGAAAGCATCATTTGTTGGCTCATTACTAGTTGAAGAAATTTGTCTGATGGCATCCAGGAAAAGCTGGGTCACACCATTATTACTAATATTTGTTCTCCAGTTTATATCTAGGAAGTCAGTCTTCTATAATGACACACTTTTCAATAGTATTTTTCTCTCCCATAAAATCAAAGAGATCTCCATAAAATCAAACAGATCTCTATTCATATCCAAATTCCACTGAAGACATGGGGCTAGAACAGACCCCTAATATGACCTCAATAGACTCTCTTTTTACAATCTTTCCCAAAACTGATTTTGAGTCAAACTGATTGTGTTTCATTCAATCTATCACCTTTTATTTCTTGTGTCTGCCATATCATTGATGTACAATGCTCCTTATTTTCTTACTGTAACACATCATTCATGTACAATGGTACCTCACCACATTTATCTTTATTTCTTTCTCTAATGAGCAGCACATATCCATCAATGCCACTATTCCAGTCACATCTGCTATTTCCACCATATTTCTGTTACCTTTATACTATTTGGTTTTACATCTTGCACCATTAATACTAATTTCACTATTATGTTGCCCAGGCTTTTTGCATTAGTGGTCAAACATCTCATTAAATAAAAGAATAATTTTAAAAAACTGGCTTGTAACTAGGGTGTTGAATTCTAAAGGGACAAATGTTGAGAAATTAAGTCAGTAAAGTAAACGGGTATATGTCTACACTACATCACTAATTCCAACTAACTTAATTCGAATTAGTTAATTCAAACTAAGCTAATTCGAATTAGTGCATCTAAACCTAAAAACTAATTCGAATTAGCGTTTTGCTAATTCGAACTAGCAAATTCGATTGGACACTGGGTCGCATTTAAGGGCAGCTGAAACCAGTTCTGGCAGGGCATCAGGTCAGTAGTTGCTTTGTGTGGCTGCTGTCTGAGGCTATCTGAGGTTCTTGCTTAAAGGGACCCCCCTGGACAGCTGGTTCTCAGCTTTTCCGCTTGCTTGCCTACCTTGCCGAGGGACAGCAAAGTGTTTTTCTTTCCCCCTGCCTGTGTCGGTGCTTCCCATTGGGGACACTGCCACAGTTGGCACCATGGAGCCAGAGCTCACCCTGGGCATGCTGCTCCAATTTTTGGACTTGCTGTTGCAAGCCTGCCAGCAGTGGGTGGAGGCTGCCTTGCACCATCTGGTGCATGTCAGCCCCTTGCCTCTCCCCCTGGCCTCCCTCGAGGTCATGGAGGAGCGGCACCAGCGCCCGGATGCCAGAATACCCCGCCGCATCTGGTGTCTGGACACCAGCAGCGACTGGTGGGACCACATCATCCTGGAGCGCTGGGGAGACCAACAGTGGACCCAGAACTTCAGGATGAAGAAGGACACCTTCCTGGAGCTCTGCGAGTGGCTCGCCCCTGCTCTGCGGTGATGGGACACTTGCATGAGGCCCGCCATCACCCTGTGAAGCTCTCCACGCCGGACAGCTATCGATCCGTCGGAAACCAGTTCGGCGTGGGGAGATCCACCGTCGGAGCAGTGCTCATGCAGGGACGGCAGGAGATCCACCGTCGGAGCAGTGCTCATGCAGGTACGGCACCCACAGGGGCCGGAGGGGAGGGGGCTGAAAGGAGGGGATGGGCCGTCCCAGGGAAAGGGGGAGGGAGGCGAAAGTGCCCCACACCGGAGGGTTCGGTCTGTCCTGGCCGTACTACATGCCACCCGCGGGGATTGCTTCTGGGAGTGGGGCCAGGGAATGAACACTCCCAGCCACAAGGGCACCCCAGTGATTCGCGGTTTGCTGTGTCTCTCTGCATGTGGTCAAGGCCATCAACCGGGTGCTGCTCCGCAGGGTGGTCCGCCTCGCCAACCCGGACGTGGTCATCCGGGGGTTCGGCGCCCTCAGTTTCCCCAACTGCGGGGGTGGGGGCATCGACGGGACGCACATTCCCATCCATGCCCCGGAACACCAGGCCTCCCAGTATATCAACCGCAAGGGGTACTTCTCAATCCTACAGGCCGTGTGTGACCACCGGGGCCAGTCCATGGATATAATGTGGGCTGGTCCGGCAAGGCACACGATGCCAGGATGTTCTGGAACTCCTCCATGTGCCAGGGACTGCAGGCCGGGACCTTCTTCCCCGACCACCACATCAGGGTCGGGGACGTGGACATGCCTGTCTGCCTGGTGGGGGATGTGGCCTACCCCCTACAGCCCTGGCTCATGAAGCCCTACACGGGGCACTTCAACCCCTCCCGGCAGGCCTTCAATGCCAGGCTCACCCGGGCCCACATTGTGGTCAAGGGGGCCTTTGGCCGACTGAAAGCACAATTTAGGTGCCTCCTCACCCTCCTCGACCTCGCCGAGCACAATATCCCTCCCGTGGTGGCAGCATGTTGAGTGCTGCGCAATTTATGCGAACGGAAGGGGGAGGCTTTTTTTTAAAACTCAGAAAAGGAGATCGGCTAGTCATGTAGCGAGACTGAGAGATAACATACGGAACTGCGCGTATACGCTATTGGTATCCACGAGACATAAAAAGAACAACAGGAAGGTCTCCAGCATGGTGGGTGGATCCTTTATGGGGGATTCATGGGAGAACATGGACGAGAATCGCACAAAACAGGGTGGCATGGAAAAGTTCTGATCTGCATCTGTGGCGTGAATATTTGCATTGATGAAATCACAAATCTTCCAAGTATAAGTATAACTAGAAGATTTACCTGGCATTGTTTAGGTCCTTAACTCAAATAAGTTTTGTTTTTCTTCATTTAAGTTATTGTCCTGGGCTGAGGTTGGGATGAGGTGTTTAGTATGCAGGCTGCCCTGGGGAGAGAGGACTACCCCAGGCCTGACACAATTGAACCTTTTTAATAAGAGAAAGTTATGCTTTAAGTTATGATAAGAGGAAGCTGCATACAAAATTCGGTGGTCCTAGTTCTTACTGTTTAGGAGGAGTTCTTGAACAAACAGTCTCTCGGATGGATGAACAGAGAAATGCACATTTCTAAAATTTATAAGAAGATATATGGTACGAAGAACAAGAAGGGGCAGCCACTATGGAGTGAGGATGGATTAGAAATTAGGGATAATCTAAAATATAATATAGACAATATGACTACAAAACTATTTTTTTCAGTTTTTATTAAGGATGCTAATGTTGAACATGGGGACAAAAGCAAGATGGTTAATGAGAATGAATGTATAGAAATGATCACAGATGAGGTGGAAGCAAAACTCTGAAAGAGTTTAATGCACTCAGATTTAGAGAGGTGACGGGAATGGATAAACTGAATTCCAGAATACCGAAAAACTGTCGCATAAAATTGCAAGTCTGACAACCAAAAAATTCAATATATTTGTTAAACCAGAGCTGGTATGATATGACTGGAGACTGGAAAAGATAGTATCTATATTTAAGAAAGAAGGAAAAAATGAATCTGTCAGCTATGGACCTGTTAGTCACATTTCAGAAGCATGAAAGACTTTTGAACATAGGTTGAAGAAAAGAATTACTAAAAACATAACGGTAAATGGAAAATAGGATAAAATACAATATGTGCTGATCATTCTAATCTAAGTTGATATTCTTCTTTGGAAAACAACTGATTTTTTCAGACCAGTGAAATATGATATGTCTAATCTATCTCAATTTTAGTAAAGCATTGGATATGGTATTACAGAGGAAATCATTAATTAAAATGGAAAAAATGTAGATTAGTACAGGAATTGTAAGAAATTTTAGTTCACAGCCTCTGTAAAAGTTCCTGCCTTTGCTTTCTCCATTTCTCTCTTTAAGCAATCAGAGCAATCACAAAGCTAGTCACTGCTTCCCTCATTGGTTCATAGCAGTTAGACTTACACATATTAACATTAAAAATTAACAACAACAACACTTACATATTAATATGTTAATAAATGTTTAATTTTGGTAATTCTTATATGAGTTCTTAGCCCAAACTGTGGTGGGACTTTTGTTGCTTAGCATAATGGGTAAAATCAAGAAGACAAGCATCAGAAAATACAGCTCTTGTTTGCTCTAATAAGATGTTCATCTTGAAAAAATGAATAAACTCTTGGGGTGCATAGCTTATTCCGAGTCTAGGTTGAAAAAGCTTATTTTGAAATTTGGCGCTGTATATACAGCGCCAAATTTCAAAATAAGGCACTATTCTGACAAATCCCTTAAACCTTGTGGAATGAGGGTTACAGGGACGCCAAAACAGTGTGCCTGCTATTTTGGGAAAAAGCGGGAGCATTTAGACACGCGCTGTTGCTATTTCGGGATACTTCCGGTATCCCGAAATAGCACCGCAGTCTATACGTACTCTTGGAGAGGAGTAGTGGAGCCATTACCAATAAAAGTTTCCAGTAAGCAACTTTTTTTCTTTGTCACCCAAAGATGAAGAATATCTCGAAATTGATTCTGTAGACAGTGTCTGCGCCTCCATCTTCTCAATGAGTAAACTCTATAAACTTTTCTACCAAACCTGTTTAGTTCCAGATACAGGAATGGGACTCTTCAAGAAGCAAGGAAACTTTTACACTGTGACCCAGATTCTTAAGTGCACTTTACCTCTATTAATACCTCTGAGAAGCAGGGATGGGGGTGCGTTAGCAACTTTTGAATTCATTTAGCGAGTTACAAAATATTTAAAATTGTTTCACAGCTACATTGAAGAAATATTTGACCTTGCCAGGGTCCTGCCCCATTGAAAAGTGAACTTTAAGCGCTCATACAAATACACTCTTCACTTCCTTGTATTCAGCTGTTAGCTGGTATTTAGATTCTGTTAAACAGATTACTCCAAATAATGCAAAATTCCAGTGAATTCTTTGCACATGCATACTTTTATACATACATTCATCGTAGCTAACATTTACAAAAACAGATGCATAAAATTAGGATCTGAAGTCCACATTTAGGCAATTAAACAACTGACTTGATTTTCTGAAGTGAAAAGTGCCCAGCTGCGACTACTAATATAATTTGAATTTAGGTGCCTAATCACAGATTTAGGAACCTGATTGAAGGCAGTCGTTTTTGCTTAAATTGCAGTCTCATATATTATGCTATATGCTGTTGCTTATAATTACAATATGAAAAATGATTACCCTAAGTACAATATCAGAAAGCCTGAAATATTCCTTTTATCTTTTCTTGATTCTATGTGTTATAATAAACAACTGAATTTGTTTCCAAATGGTTAGCATAGGTTCTCTTATATTAAAAATGATTAACTACATGGGGTTATATAGATTAAATCAGTCTTTCATCTGAGTGAATTTACTTCACTACTACAGTGGTGGGGTTTGTTTGTTTTCAAATGAGAAGAATTGACTTATGATGTTTAATTCTATTTCCCATAGAGTTAGATTTTACATTGAAAGCTGATTTCCGTACTATGTTCTAACTCCTAAAATAGATTTGTGGTCTACACACTATAAATCTGAAGCAAGTTTATGAGCCATGCTATTGTTAAAATACATAAATAAAATCTATAGTATTTCCTGTAATCTTTACTATACAAATGCAGAAAAGCCTAAACTGAATAGGTTCTATTACAATGCAATATTGAGTTTGGTATTGACTTGAAGAAGCATTATCACCTCCTTGACTAACCCTTAGCTGCCAGCAGACGCTGCCTCAGGCCAGTACACACCTAATTGCTCGGTAAAAAGGCCTTTTCCCTACCTCATTGAGCCGGATGATGTGATAAATTTGCCTCAGGTACTCGCTGCCACCTGGTTTGTGGCAGATATCCAGGACCATCATGTTTATTTTCTCCGTAGTCAATTCAAATGCAATACCTTCCTTCTCTAACACTGCACCTTCTTCTACTGAAATAAAGGCACTAAAATAAAGAAAGCATACATATATCACTAGTGTGAAGTAAAACATTGCTAAACCACAAAGTGTTAATGTTAGTTCCACATTTAACATAATTTGTAAAAATTTAGGTTGTACAAGAATGTTGCTATTTATATACATCTCTGAAATTAGTATGTTTTTGAATGTTGAGTGCTTGAAAGCATATTTAAACCATAAACAGAATATCTATATTCTTATCTATAAAATATTTTCATATTGGTGGAATTGATGAAAATACTGTAATCAGAAGAATGAAAATAGAAGACTGTCTTTTTTAATAAATGCAAGAATTTTTATATTCTCTTAGTATTAAAAATGTTTTTGTTACTAGAAACAGCATTAGTATTCAATGTTTTTCACATTTTTTTGCCTGTCATTGATTATGTTGAAGACTTATTAAAGTGTCAGAAAGATAGCTATTCACTGAATATAAGTGAGAAAAATTAAATCTTAGTCTGTTTTCCACTGATTATTCTTAAGTAGTCTTTTGCCACTTGTTGACTTTTTTTAAAACCTATTATTTTCCTCCTGTTTCTTCTCTGCCACATGATTCTCAAAACTAATTAGTATGATGATTATTTGTTTATTTTCCCTCTATAAGAAACATAAACTAATAATTATGTGCTCACTTGGTAACTAGCTGAAATGCATCCTTATCAACTGTAAGCATCATCTAACTCGGAAGACCTAAAATGTTGGAGTTTGTAGCACAAATATAACATTAGACCTTTACTGACCACATCAAGCTTGCTATATTCATTACCACGTTCACACTAAGATCCACAACATAAACATGCTAAATGATGTTAGAGCATTAACATCATCAATCAGATCCCTTATCCTAAATTCTAAATTAATTCAAAAGATTATGCTTGTTACTGAGACTCTGGGGTAACAATGAAAATCAAATTTTTCATTGTTTACGTGTCTGAATAAAATTTGCTGGGGGTGCATACATCTGTAAATTGCAATTTACTGTTCAAATATGCCATATGTGCAAAATAAATTCTGCTGAAAGTGGCTGTTGATTTGAAGTCTCGCTAAAATTCTACACAGCTTCTGAACATTAATGGTGATATTGCTTCCACATGAATCTTCAGATCTTCCTACAGAGTAAATAGTTTGAAAATATAAACTTATAATTTTGTTCTTTGCTAAACAGAAGTAAATACTGCTTTCTTGTTATGACATACTTTTATAGAAAATGTAAAAAAGAAATTGATCTTTCGAATTAAAGCATATTTTAGGGCTGGTCTTTTGATGTTGTGCATAGATACAAACTGAATTTCTTGTTAAACTTCTCAGAGGTTGACATTGAAAAAGTTGAGGCCCTCTGACAAAGGAGTGTATCAGTGTCAGCACCCAAATGGTATCCTTTCCTGTCCATCACTGTGCAGGTGAAGCAGATGATTGGATTCAGTCAGTGCTATGATTAATGAGTTCCTCTCTGGATTTGGGACTGCCTATCAATCATGTCATTAGGGAGAATGTGCCCTGAAAGAGGCAGACCTCAGCCAAGGAATAACTGCATTCATCTTAATCTGTATATGCATCCAGTCAGCCAAGTCAGGGTCACCATGATGAAAAACAATAATCTTCAACTCGACAAATTACTTTGCAAAGACAGACGTTTCTTTACTTTTTGGGCAGTGTGTTCTCCAGAATGTAACTTGACTGTTTACAGCTCGGGTGTTACTACAAAGTGAAGGTTGTTTAATGAATAGTAATGCTTTCAGGCAATATACAAGACAGGCAATGCATACAGCTGCCACAGTAGTTTTTAAAAAAATCCATAAAAGCTAAGTTAACTGTATGTTCAACACCTGAAAAAAATCAGAGTAATGTTGTATACAATCAAAACAATAGTTTTGTTTAACATAAACGATTTCACATAAAAACACTATATACTTTTGCTTACAAAAACATTATGAACATCTTGTTCATGTTCTGAGTGGTTCAGGTACACAGAAACTGGAAATTGTGTGTGTGTGTGTGTATGTGCATGTTGCAGTTGCTTATGTATAGGTTACAATTGTACACATATAAATATGGGTATACATACATACATATACACACCATTTTAACCATAGGATGGCTCCACAGTGTTTTAATGAAGATTCTTTCAGGTAACTTATCTCAAAAGAATCAGTTTGAGATCAGGATCTTGAAAGATCCTTTCTTAGTTTATCAAACTAAACAATTCTACATGGAATATTTCCTTCTCTCTGCTAATACTCCCAATGTCCTACTTCACTGGATCTGTTTTACAGATTGTTTTAATAAATAACCTTTGGTTCTTCATGGAATATATCAACTATTTAGTCCCAAGAGCAATGGTTGACTTTCTCTTTCAGGCAGACTAGCCTGGCAAAAATTTAGACCCTACTCCTACAAAGAGCCTCATGTCAGCAGACCCCATACACTGGGAAGAGCTCCACTACACACAGGGACCTTTTCATGCAGAGCTGAGCATGACTGGAGACTAAGGGTATGTCTACACTACAAAGTTAATTCAAACTAACACGTTAGTTCGAATTAACTTTGATAGGCGCTACACATACAAACCGCTAGTTCGACCTTAATTCGAACTTAATTCGAACTAGCAGAGCGCTTAACTTGAACTAGGTAAACCTCATTCTACGAGGACTAACGCTTTGTTCGAATTAAGTAGTTCGAATTAAGGGCTGTGTAGCCACTTAATTTGAACTAGTGGGAGGCTAGCCCTTCCCAGGTTCCCCTGGTGGCCACTCTGGGCACAACCAGGAAAACTCTTCTCCTCTCCCACAGCCCCGGGCCCTTAAAGGGGTAGACTGTGGCCAAATGGCACTTGACACAGCCAGCCCTGCCAGCAGTCTGTGCCCCGAACCAGTGGGCCCGTCTCTGCCCCTGACCCAGTGGCCCCACCATGAGCCGGGCAGCCAGTGCCAGCCAGTCGTCCCTTGCCCAGTCCCCCAGCACCTAGGAGCCAGCCAGGGGTCGTAGACGCCGCGCTCCCTCTCAGACTAGTGAGGAGGTCATGGACCTCATTGAGGTTTGGGGGCAGGCCCCCAATGTCCATGATCTCCGCACCAGATGGAGGATCATGGCTGTCTACGGCCGCATAGCTGCCACCATGGGCAAGAAATGCCACAAGCGCACCCAGGAGCAGGTTTGCCTCAAGATAAAAGAGCTGTGGCAGGCATACGCTAGGGCCACTCGGGGCAGCTCCAGAGCAGGGCAGACACCTGCCCCTATTTTGAGACCCTGGTCCACATCATGGGGGGTGGTGCAGTCCATGCCACTCCTGGGGGCAGCGAGCCGGGACCAGAGGACCCTGACCAGGGCACAGAGGAGGAGCCGCCATGCCAGCAGGACCCCTGAGCAGTCCTAGGAGAGGAGTCAGCAGGGTCGTCCGGGGTGGGGTGGAAGGGAGACCAGAGACTGCTCACGTGGGCCATGCCTTCCACGGATCACGCAGACACCTGTCCATGTGTGAGCACGTGTCATGCCACCCTTGGGCAGGTGGCTCCAGCTGCGTGACACCCAGGGGCCATGGCCCAATAGGCACATGCATGTGTGAAGAGACCTGACATGCTCCTGACCCCGGGGCGGGACCCAGCAGGATGCTTTCCCTTCACATGTCCCCTCTACACGGAGGCAGGGGACATCTCCCCCCGCCCCACCCCGGCCACACTATACACAGCACAGGGACATGGGTGCGGTCTTGGGGCAGCTCTCAATCCCGGGGAGAGCCAGACATCCTGACCATGGCCTCTGTACAAGCACAGCGGCTCTGACGGTGCAGGGCATGGTCGCCCTCACGTCGCAGGGGGGGAATAGGGGCTGGGCATCATCCGCTGCGTCCCGGTAATGTCAGCTGGAGGGGCTGGAGAAGTGGGCAGGATATAATTTATAATTAAGAACTGTAACTTAGATGGGGCTACTATAAGGTGGGTGCATAACTGGCTGGATAACCGTTGTCAGGGAGTAGTTATTAACAGTTCTCAATCTTGCTGGAAAGGTATAACAAGCGGGGCTCTGCAGGGGTCTGTTTTGGGACTGGTTCTATTCAATATCTTCAAAAACAAATTAGATATTGGCATAGAGAGTATGCTTATTAAGTTTCCAGATGATACCAAGCTGGGAGGGATTGCAACTGCTTTGGATTCTAGCTCCGCCAGGAGCAGCTGGCTGAGCAAATTGGAGAAATGGTCTGAGGTAAACAGGATAAAGTTTAATAAAGACAAATGTAAAGTGCTCCACTTAGGAAGGAACAATCAGTTTCACACATACAGAATGGGAAGCGACTGTCTAGGAAGAAGTACGGC